GGCTATGTTTAGCGTTATATCTTTTGTGTGTTACAGCTTTAGACCTACTAGGGGAGGTTTAAGATGGGGCAAATCAATCAGTTTGAAGACCATGTGATTCAGTCATTGCTTCCTGTAGTGTACTCTTATTTATTCATCGTTTCACTGTTATTTTGGATAGAAGTAGCTCTACTGATGCTTATAGTGCATTGAAAGCTTAAAGAAGTACAATATCCCCTGGACTAGAGAAAGAGAAAAGGAAAAAGAAACACTAGCACTACTATAACACCTTCAAGTTAAAAAACAAAAACATACTTCTTCCAATGTTACTGATGAGTGGCATTCAATTAAATCACTGTAATAACCTTATTATTATAAATTAACATCTTGAGTTTGATTCGTATTGCATTAATGCTTATACATTCTTCTTCATCCATGTAGCAATGTTTTTTAGCATTTTGATTGCTTATAGGACCACTTTGAGAGCTTGTGGATTTTCAGGTGGTACTCCTGAAAGGCTAGTCATATGAATAAACTGCCCAGCCATTTGTGCACATGCTTATCATCTGGTTTTAACCCACTGCAAGTCCCTCTTCCCCCTAAAAATACACATTTAGTACATTTATAATGTACTAAAAAATAGCCAAGTTTTCATTACAATGGTTGCATATATACAGCAAAATACTCTGTACAGTTGTTTACAAAGAATACTCAGTCTGTTTTTACAATAGCTGCAAATAACTATAAATGAAGGCAACAACTGTACCTATTTTGTAGCTTATTTTAAGATTTAGTAACAAAATAAGATGTTGTTACTAACATTCTCTTGAAAAAGCAGGTTGTTGTTTAGCCAGATGAAATGCTGAAAGATGAAATGCATTTTCAATTGGCATTATTGTAATGCCATATTTAGACTCTAAGCAGAGTGAGAGATACGAGCACAAGATTTTCCTGACCACTAGACTGTCTTTTAGAGAATCTTAAGGGCAACACCAAGAAGTTGATAGCTAGGGCTAAGAAGCATTTCAGAAATTATGTGTTTCAGGAGGATTATGTGCAAACAGAAAGAAGAAGAGGGGATTCTCTGTGTTTGCCTATTCTGTATCAATTCAAATAATCATCCTTAGGATTTTAATAAACTTGGATTAACTTTTTTTTCAGACTTGTTACTTAAGGCTTTTTACATAGACAGTTGGCATGAAACATCTCTGCTTTCTTGGAAAATCTTTATAAAAGGGATTTACAAATGAAGCTTGGCCAATCTAGACTGGTGAAGAAAACCTATTTCTCCTATTTGTCTATGGAGATTCTCAATCATCCAGGTCATAGTTGTCCCAAAGATGATTTTTCAAGAGGCAACTGGACTTTCTTGTTTTTCTTTGAAGACATTTTGCTTTTTATCCAAGAACCTTCTTCAGCTGTCTTCAGCTCTGAAGACAGCTGAAGAAACTCTAAGAAGCTTCTTGGATGATAAGCGATGAAAAGAAGAACAAGACAGTTCTCCTGTCTGCACACTTTACTTTATTTCATGAGATTGCCAAAGATGTCTGACAAAACAAAAAGATATGCCAACATAACAAAACTGAATAAACTGCTGAAGTTAAGTATTGCTTCCCAAAACATTGTTGGGTTTTTATTAGGACAGTAATCAAGATGAGTTTTATATATAGATATATATGAGTTATAGGTAGTCCTCAACTTATGACCACAGTTGGGAACTTCCATCACTAAGCCTTGCACTTCAATGGATTGCATCTCATTTTATGAACTTTTGTGCCACAACATTAAGCAAATCACATGGCTGTTGAGGGAATCCAGCTTCCCCCATTGACTTTGCTTGCCACCCCCACACCTGGAAGATCGTAAATGGCAATCACATGACCTTGTGATGCTGCAACTGTCATAAAAACATGCTGGTTTCCAAGCACCTGCATTTTGATTGTGACCATGGGAATGCTGTGACAATCCTAAGTGCAAAGCCCAGCAATAATTCGCTTTTTTCAACATTACTGTAACTTTGAACAGCTGTTAAATGAATGGTTGCAAGTCAAGGGCCATGTATAAGAGCACTTATTTCTTTTATGTTACAGTATAAATACAATATAACAATGATAGATTTAGAAGAAGAAAAAAACCTGGAATTAAAAGTAGAGTCAAAACTTTAACAACTTCAAATTTGTAGATAGGCATCACCAAAGTAAATTTATTATGAGAAAGAAAGAGAAAATCCAGGTACATGTCAGCCAGCATGCTGAATGAACTGATAGCTATGAAGGTGAAAGGTACTTTTGTTTTCTTAACCTTAAGGTAGACAGTGTGCTCAAAAAAAAAGATTAATCCTAGGAAGTAAGACAATGCAAAACTTAGACATGATTATGAAGACTAAAGATAATTCAATGACAACAAAAATTAGAAAAGTTAAAGCAACAATATTTCAAGCTGCAACATTCAGCTTTGAAAAGTAGACATTGAGAAAGGAAAAGGAAAGAATATAGGATATTTCAAATTATGGATTTTGAGAAGGTTACAAGCGGTATCACAGATTGTAAGAAGGATTAATACATCACATCTGGATCAAATAAAGGCTCACCGATTTCTTGAGACAAAAATAACCCATTTTGGCATGTGACACAGGTGGATAATGAATTAGAAAAATAAGTGTTAGGTAAGATTGAAGGAAGTAGACAAAAGGGAAGACAATGAATAAAGTAGGGTTTGAAAATGGAGCTGGGAATTTCAGAAAAGGGTGCTCTGGAGCAGTATCTCACTAAATATACCAATGGTGCCTTCTCTCCTGTGTTCTGAAAAGTCTTTGAAACCTGGATTTGGTCCCATATCTGAGATTAATGTGCATGGGGTGGGGAGGCTATTCTGCTTTGTTTAATTATTGTTTTTAGTTCAAACTGTTCAACTTCATTTTATGTTTTTAATTGTTTATGTTAATTATTATTTTAATTGTCCACTGGAAGCTATATTAATGACAACAATAACAATAATATTAGATCTGCAAGTTATTGAAATAATAATAATCAAACGCAACTTGATAGCACCCAGTTAGCTGTTTGGGTACTCTTATAAAGAAACACAGGAGTATAGGAATATAGGAGTATAGGAATTTTAGAATGCTATCAGTTTACTGTTTTCAGCTGTGTTCCTCACTTTTGCACATATAACAGGCTGGAATGTGGAGTCCTGGAAGAAATATCCATTTCCAACACTATCAATAGGAGATAAATATTTACAGAATTTTCTTTAAAGCTCAATTAGGAAATATTTCCTATAGTTCAAGTAGCACCAAATAATAATGCGTGTGGTCTTCAGAAGCCATGGTTTTAAGTTCTCCTAACTATTTTGTTCTATTCCATGGTCTCTCATGAATTAGCTACTCTCTGGATTAGCTACATCTCTTCCCAGTATAGGCACAAGAGTTGCAATGAAGATGAATATGAATGATTCAAAGGAACTAATAGCAAGGTAATGTGTGTTGACAGACAGAAGGTTGACCAAAAATAAAGAAAACAGGAAATGGCACCTAGAGCATATATTCTTTTCAGCAGTTATGATGTGACCTTTAGTTGCAAGAGATAATTAATCCAGTTGTGAATGGAAATGAAGAGATGATCAAAACATAACATGTAGACATTCACTATATGTATGCTGCATAACTGAGTGTCCAACATTTCATTAGACAATAAGTTTATTATTATGCTATTTTTATTAACTTGCCCCACAAATGTATATGTGTTATACAAGAATTGTGATCAGTAGCTGTCTTTAGTGATCCTATCTTTGTTGCTTATTGTTTATAACAATAAGGGATAAATGGCTCTATTGATTGTGTGGAAGGAAAAGTTGAAAAACCACAAGAATTCTTGACTTTAATTCTGCTCGGTTCCCTTCAGATAAAAAGGGTACACAGAAATCTGAAGACTGATTAATATATGAATGGCACAAGATCAGGAGGTTCTACAATTAAAGGTCACAATTGGGAGGAACCCAAGCTTCTTTTTCATTTCATTTTGATTTTAAAATCAAATGATGCATTAAAGTCACTTGAGAGACAAGAGAATCATGTGGGCTTTGAATTTCTACTGAGCTCAAAATATCTCTGTGGCTGAAGAGCCAATTTTGCAGGCCTCAAAATCGCTTGAATGACAGGGGCAACAGAGGGAGAAAATTGCTCTGCCGTGTGCAAGAGGAGAGCCCAGCCGCACTGACAAAACTCCAGCACCGTGGACAGTACCAGATTTGAAGGGATTTTGCTCGTTCCGGATAGAGGGAAGGCGTCTTGCCTACTAGCCCGCTGCATAGATATGGGGGTCTGTGTTTTCTGTAGTCGGCTAAGAAGGCCCTTTAATAAATAATATTTATTTATTAAATTTCTATGCCACCCATCTTTCTGATACAGAACACAGCCAGCAGAAAGACGTACAGTAGATGAATTCCTTCTGATTTGAATTGTATATTTTTTTTATTGAGGACTTCCTTGCCCATCTAAAAGGGGATCTCATCCAACTTCTATCTTGGTTTAGACACAGTGGTAAGTTCATTAAGGTCTCCTCGGAGTCTTGGGGGAGGGCATCGCAGCCAACATTATCTTCAGATCCTGGACTATTTTAAGGAGCCAGGCAATAAAAAGGTTCCGTTCTCCAGCCTGTAAAATCCATTCAGCCATGCACACATACAAACATAAACCTTCACCCACTTCGAAATGTCAAGAGACAAAATCAGCGCCGTAACCCAACCCCCCTCTCCTCGGCACCATCACTTTGTGCAAGTTTTGCTCAGAAATAGACTAAAGAACCCCTCCCTGGACCGTGACAAGGATACACGGAGGAAAACCCCACCTTTGGCAGGTGGCGGTGGGTCGACAACAGTTACTGTGTGGGACCTCTTTCACACTCCACCCAGTTTGCTGTTAAAGGGATGCTGCATCTTCCCAGTCCTCCCCCTCCCAGCCCCCCTTCAAGCCAAGGCGGCGGCTTTCAGCAGAAGGGGCTGCCAGCTTGGGGGGAACTCACCGGTTAGTTGATCGTAGGAACCATCGAGGTCCCGGGAATCGGAAAGGCTCTCCTTTCTGCTCTTGCCGCGCATCTTGTGGAGCGGAGACGCCCCGGGGATCCGGGACAGGACAGGACCTGGCTGCACACTTCCCTTCGCTTTACTGGTTCTCTTCCTTGCCAGGTGGGGCGCCCGGGGCGCCCGGTTCCGATGCCTCCCTCCCCCTCTGCAGATCCTCCTGGCGGGGGCGCGGGACGGGCAGGGGCAGCCGGCGTCCAGTTCCCCGGCAACAGAAGAAGCGCAAGCGCTTTCTTTCCCAGCCGCCGAGCTGCTCCCCCACCTCGCCCGCCAGCTTCTGTGCACCGCCGCTTGTTTGCTTCTCACGGGGTTCTCACGGGCGGGCGGGGTCCTTCTCTGACCGCCTGTAGCTGGGGCGAAAGGCGAAGAAGCAGACTCCGTCCCCGGGCTGTGTGTGCCTTTCTCCCCGGGGCCGCCTTGAGCTCCCTCTCGCACCGCTCCACGCCGGAAGGGTTTAGTCCTGTGCGCCCGTCCGGGGCAGAGTGGGAAGCGCTCCCCTGCACTGGACTCAGGGAGAAGAGTGGGGGGAAAAGAATTTCCCTCAGACACGTGTCTTCGGGGGCTGGGAGACACGTGCACCTGTATACAAACGCGCACGCCGGCGTCGTTGGAAAACTGGCGCAAGAATAGACGTCCTCCCACACTTCTGGCGGAGCAGGAGCTCGCGGGGGCAGGAGCCACCCCAGCGCTACCCACTCGGCCTCGGGCGGGGATCCCGGAGTACAGGAGGCCGTGCAGGCAAAGGCGCATCCAAGACTGAGTGAACCACGCCAACAAGTGTTAGCGCTTGCTTACACACCTCTCACGCCTCTGAAAGATCCGTGCAGGGCAACCGACACGCTCCACCAAACCTTAATCTACCTCCAGAAGAGCAGGTTACACCACACACACACACACACACACACACACACACACACACACACACAGAGTGAACCTGTTCTTAGGAGAGGCTCTTTTGTCATTTTATTTAACTACCGATGTCCTTATCCACTCAGCCAAGCCTGGCTATAATAGAAATACTTAAAAAATGCAAACATTTCATCTGTTGAATTTCTGTCTCCCCCAGCTGCTAAAAACACAGGAGGCCTGTCAAGGGGTGCGGGGAGGCAAGTCCTGGGTCCAACTGAAAGGGGGAGCGGGGAGGGCAAGAGGGAAGAGAACTGTTGCTGGAGGTGGAGAATCTAACAAAGCCAGAAGGCAGGCAGAATTGGCCAAGGGCTACTAGAGCCTGTGATCCTGTAGGTTTTCCCCGTCCAACTGTACAGGATAAGGACATCTCTGAATCAGCTTCTCTGAAAACAAACAAAACTGGCCAGGAATTAGTTTTGATCCAATGTATCTGGAGGGCGGCTGATCTGAGGGAACTTCTTGTCCAGATGTTCTTCAGATGTTAGAGACCCAACCTTTAGAATGTATGTTGTTCCTATTGAACACGATTTCCTCTGGGTTCATGCCCACTACTTCTATAATGAGGAATAACTGGCACTGTTATCCTCTAGAGCAGGGGTCTCCAACCTTGGCAACTTTAAGCCTGGAGGACTTCAACTCCCAGAATTCCCCAGCCAGCTTTGCTGGCTGGGGAATTCTGGGAGTTGAAGTCCTCCAGGCTTAAAGTTG